TATCTATATGAAATTTTATTCTAACTGTATTTTAAAATTAATATATATATATTTATATCAAAATACACTTAGAATGAATTTGTATATATATATCTATGTATATATAAATAAATAAAAATAATACAAAATATACATATGTCCATATACAAAATTACATAAATAATTATATAAATATACACGTAGACTTCAAATATATAAATATGCATATATATTTAAATTCTACTTGCGTATTTATGTAATATTTGTACATAATTAAGTAATTTTATTGATTGCAATTTGAGGGACCTGCCTGCCAACCCAGGCCGAAAGTCCAGAGAATTTAATTTGCTAGCACTGTATTTTACCCTGTAACGTTCTACGACACCCTAAAACCTGTAAATGGGGGGTACTGTTTTACTCAGAGACTTCGCTCAACACAAATATTAGTGATTCAAAACAGTAAAACATATCACCGCAATGATATTGTCAGTGAAAGTGACTTTTTTTTGCATTTTTCACACACAAACAGCACTTTTACTGCTGATATAATTGTTGTGATACATTTTCCAGTTTTTAAACACTAATATTTGTGTTCAGCGATGTCTCCCGAGTAAAACAGTACCCCCCATGTACAGGTTTTATAGTATTTTTGAAAGTTACAGGGTCAAATATATGGGTCAAATATTTTTACATTGAAAATGGCCAGGTTGGTTACATTGCCTTTGAGAGCGTATGGTAGCCCAGGAATGAGAATTACCCCCATGATGGCATACCATTTGCAAAAGAAGACAACCCAAGGTATTGCAAATGGGGTATGTCCAGTCTTTTTTAGTAACCACTTGGTCACAAACACTGGCCAAAATTAGCGCTCAATTTAGTTTTTTTACTTTTTTCACACACAAACAAATATGAATGCTTACTTTGGCCAGTGTTTTCGACTAAGTGGCTACTAAAAAAGACTGGACATACCCCATATTGAATACCCTGGGTTGTCTACTTTAAAAAAAATATGTACATGTGGGGTGTTATTCAGAGATTTATGACAGATAATAGTGTTACAATGTCACTATAGATAAATTTTAAAAATGTATGTTTTGAAACCGCAATATCCTACTTGTACCTATAGCCCTATAACATGCAAAAAAAGCAAAAAAGCACGTAAACACTAGGTATTTTTAAACTCAGGACAAAATTTTGAATCTATTTAGCAGTTTTTTTCATTCGCTTTTGTAGATGAGTAAAAGATTTTTCAAGTAAAAGTAAAAAACATGTATTTTTTTCAATTTTTCATCATATTTTTTTATTTTTTTTAAATTAAAATACAAGAGATTATATAAATAATGGTATGTAAAGAAAGCCCCTTTTGTCCTGAAAAAAACAATATATAATTTGTATGGGAACAGTAAATGAGAGAGCGGAAAATTACAGCCAAACACAAACACCACAAAAGTGTAAAAATATGCCTGGTCGCAAATGTACAACATCGCAAAAACAGTCCAGTCCTTAAGGGGTTAAAAGAAACATAGACACTATAGTCACCAGAACAACTACAGCTTATTGAATCTGTTCTGGTGAGTAGAATCATTCCCTTTAGGCTTTTTGCTGTAAACACTGTCTTTTCAGAGAAAATGCAGTGTTTACATTACAGCCTAGTGATAACTTCACTGGCCACTCCTCAGATGGCTGTTAGAGATTCTTCCTGGGTCATCGCTGCCTAAAATGCATCCAAACATTCAGTGTCTCCTCCCTCTGCATGCAGACACTGAACTTTCCTCATAGAGATTCATTGATTCAATTCATCCCTATGAGGAGATGCTGATTGGCCAGCGCTGTGTTTGAATCATGCTGGCTCTGCCCCTGATCTGCCTCTTTGTCAGTCTCAGCCAATCTTATGGAGAAGCATTGTGATTGGTTAAGGCCACCACTTCTGATGATGTCAGAGGTCAGAGGAAATTCACAGGCAGAGGCATCAGCTTCAGATTTGAATACAGGTAAGATTGTACTATCTTTAGGGAGGCAAAGGGGGCCAAATAGTGATTTTAACACTATAGGGTCAGGAATACATGTTTGTGTTCCTGACCCTATAGTGCTCCTTTAATATAGAAGCCACAGAAAGAATGCTAGGGAACCATCTACATATCAAAACTACTTTTCTGCATGGCCATTATATGTAACAGCCTCCAGGATTTGAAGATCCTGAAACAGAATCTTGTGTGCAAACTTGAAAAGAGCTAAAATATTAAACAGGGTAAAAAAGCATCAAATAAAAAGATGAATGAAGTGCTCACAAATTAATCCCATTTACAGGAGTGAAGCATGTCTCAATCTCTTGCCTATACTCAAGATGACAAGTGGAAATGTTCTAGTTTATGATCTACTAATCAACTTTAATGAAGAAAATTATGTAAGAAAGTGCCGTAGCATTTAATGGAGAGAGAATGTGATACTAGTTATCTACTCTGTCATGAAGAATGCTTTTGTATGCACAACGCAAAAATAAATAAATATATATATATATTTTTTTTTTTTAACGTACAAAACCCAATCCAAAAGAAAGAACCTAGTATGTATACTGCAAGAAAATAGGAAACATATTATATAAGCTTACTATACTAGATATTGTCTCAGCAGTTGGGATCCCTTTCCAGAAAGTTGCAGCATCTACAAAGCATAATGGAATCCTGTTAAAAGAATAATCGAAACTAAATGACCAACGTCCTGGGACACTCCAGACCACTAAAGCAGTTTAGCTTGCTGAAATGCGTTATGTCTTAAGAGTGTGGCCTCTTTTTTTAATTTTACAAAAAGTGCAGATTTCAAATGATATTGTATCTTTTATTAAAAAAAATTGACAATCTTTATTTAGAGTTTCTCAAGATTCAAAATATAGTATTGATTGAAGTAATCGGTACACACTAGTCACGCAAAACTTGTACAAGACACAAAAAACCTTAGAATATTGCATACTTGGGAAACAATATATTTTTGACACTCAAGTCACAGCAGAAACCCCACACACAAACACACACACACACTTCACCATGTCAAAACTGCAGGTAGCTACTACCTTAAAGGGGTATACATATTACAGCTAAGAAGTTTCGCTTCCCTATCCTGGATACTCACTCCAGAAACGAAAAATTGTAAGTGATTAAATTACTTGTGCATACTCACTTTAAATACTGTTGCGGTATCTGTAGCCCCCCCCTTCCTCCGCTACTCCTGTATTTGGTTTCCAGTTACTTATAACCGCCTAAGGTAATCAGGAACCTCATTCCCACTATGCTATCTAGGGTTTAGAAGAACAATATTGAGAGAGGGCATCCCTGCCGAGTGCCATTCATGATTGTCACAGGCCTCGATAGGTCCCCATTCAGACTAACCCTTTCCATAGGTGTAATGAATTATTTAAATTATCTAAGCCATAAATAAGCATAATAAGTGGTGCTTTAGAGGCACCACTAGGGGCGACGTGTAGGATTAATTTCCATTATATGGTTTCCTTATGCCATGTGCATCTGGCAGTGACATCATAGGTCAGCCTATTCTAGGGATGTTGCCTCCCAGAAAAGCATTCCACTGGTAATAAAAAAAATAGATGTAAAAGGGGCAGAGTTTATCCACCAAGCTGAATGGTCACATCTACCAAGCGCTCTGTACAACAGAGGCCTAACAAACCTCAAAAGCGAGAATACACAACTGCCGATAATAGACATACCTTGGTGGCTGGGGAACCATTATGGGTGGTAAAACCAAAAAAACAAAACCTGACAAGCCACGGTTTGGCATGAATATTGGAGACCTCCTGAGGCAGGCAAATAGCGCAACTGGGACCAATATGGCCGTCTGCCCTGAGGCCTACTCTGAGTTCTTGGGCGAACTGTCCAATGATGTGCACCCCGATCCACGGGCCCCAAAGGGTCCAGATAACTCATCGGTCACCACTGCGGTTCTTAAAGAGCTTCTGGCAGATCTCCTGAAGAACATACTTGCCGATATCCACACGGACCAACAAGGCTTGAAAGACGGATCAAACCTGGAGACCTGGAGACTATCTATAATACCTGTACCCTGCAAATTGCCACGCTACAACAGGCTGTAAAGGAACTGCAACAACAACACAAGACAAATGAACAAGGCTTTGCACAGCTGGAAGATAACAGGTGCAGGAACAACCTGAAGATCAGGGGCATCCTAGAAGACTTACCTACAGCAGAGCTACCACACATGTTACAACACCTTCTGCTGGTGCTTCTACCCCCAAAGCACGCAAAAGCAGTGGGGATAGATTGCTGTTTCAAAATTCCTAAGTCAGCTTCAGCTTCAGTACCGAGGGACCCAGTGGTCCATTTTCAAACCTGTAGAGATAGGGTGGCGATACAGACCGTAGTAAAGGAGCAAACTCCTTACAGTTTTGAAACTATGTCTCTCACATTTTATGCCGACTAGACGTGCAATTCGTTTCGTTCTGAATGTACATTCGTACGAATTTCATGCCATTCGGACGCTTATGAATGTCCAAAGTGCCGAAGCGATTCGGATTTCTGAAAAGTGGCTAAACAAGAGAGAGGGAGGGAAAATTACATGAATGATGCCCGAAATTTTGACCAATATGCTAATTCCTTTGTGCAATGTAATGCTTGCTTGCCCGATCTGGTTTTACTATTCCCTGTCCAATGAAGTGAGCAAATTTTTGTGATTGATGTTAGAGGACAGCCAATTAATGGTGATTTTGTCACGGACACTTGGCCAATGAAGGCACACAGAGTCATTGAGGTGGGATAGTATATAAATCAGGCTGTCAGGGAGTTGGCTTGCATTCATGTGACCAGTAGACATGTGCAATTTGATCTTTCCAAATGTACATTTGTACAAATTTCATGCCATTCGGATATTCAGATGCTTACGAATGTTGAACTTCCAAAGCCCCGAAGTAACAATGTTCGGCAGTTCCGAAGTGCTGAACAGAACCAAATGCCATTAGCCCAAATTGCCGAAGCAGACAATTTTTTTTTACTTACCTGAATTTCTGTACCAAACGAAATTTTTTGCCCATGCCCATCCCTAATGCCGACGTTCTCTCCAACCATTTACCGCTCTCCTCTGGAAACACAGTATCCAAAAAGATGGCGACTGGCGCACACACTTCAAGTTACTAAAGGCGAAGACAAGCACACTGTCACAGATCTAATGGGGGCAATATCTCTGCTGCCTACCCTTGGACTTTCTGAGAACTCAATGGCACAAACCAAACAACGGCTTGGGCCGCCCTGAGATGGAACCCAGAGATGGTGACGGAGTTCATTCCAAGGCAAAATGCACAGGCCACTTATGCAATGATTACCACCTGAACAATCTATGCCGATAGTTTGTCTAGTTTATTTAATTTGTCTTGTTTATGTTTAACCGTTATGCTTCCTTGCTATGATGACATATATAGTGATCATTCATTACACAATGCCCTCCCAGCTCGGATGGTCCACAGACCACATTTATGCCTCCTCCCCCACCTCCTAGATGTAAATAAGGTTAATGTTTAAGGCTCTAGCGAGGCGTTAACTCTACCACAGCTGCACAATACCTAGTTCAGTCTGGATGACAAGATCGCGTAGTTAAAGCATAGAGGACTTTATTTACAACAAAAATCAATTCACTGTGTGAGATACATCAGTGATGCAATAGTTCAATTTCTGCCTATATGCCTTTGTACAGTCTCTTAGATATATTGTATTTTCATAAACCAGTGTATATACAGGTGGAAATTTCCACAAGCATAGATTAGAGGGATTCCCTGCTCTTGTGCGTATGTCTATGTTCGGGGAAATAGGGATGCAGCTGCACAAGTAACAACATTTGAAAAGTCACACAATGCTTAGTAGCACTCACAAAATCTGAGGTACATAATCACCTTGATGGTGCCTCCCCTGGTGATGATGTGGGCCCAAAAGACCTTTCTCCCTCCTACTGGATGCTGTCTCCAGGAACTGAAGAAGTCAGGAATCCAGGTAAATATAAAACTATTTATTTTAAGCAGAAAAAAAACCAAAAAACATATTAAAAAAAAAAGATTTTAAAAAATAAAAACACAACAACAGGCCTGGCCCTACTGCTTACCGACATGTAGTAATTCCTCTTGGAAAGGTCTATAGTATTGAAAGTCAACCGATCCGGGTCCGGTGCTTTCCTCGTCTGGGAGCGCTTCCAATTCCTCCTCCAAGAATCCCACTTCCTCAACGGAGAGTTTGCCGGAAACATACTGTGAAAATCTGCCCTTTTGAACTTTCCAGTTTTTTCCTGAACCCAATTTGTTTCCCCTTAATTCAATACTTCTAAACTACTGAACACCTGACAGGCTTATTAACTTCAAAGAAACCACAAACTTAAGTGCGCTCTCTGGGTGTTCTAGTAAATGGTGGCCATTTTGTCTCCAAAACGCAGGCAGCGGTACTTGATTGTCGAGTGCGTAGAACTCTATTTTGGATGCTTTGCCTCATGAACCCCTGGAAAATTCAACTGTTGCCTGCTCCATTCCCAGACAAGCCAGAAGAGCGTTTTTTGAGGAAAAGACACCCCAAACGGGGAGACCATTCGCTCCATACGAACTAGGGGGAGCCTTCATTTATATTCATATAGGAACTACCAAAAGTTGACCAGCCGCTACCTCTTTTCCTCTGGAACTAGTTTGGGCAGCAGCCACGTATGCGGTCAGTCAAAACTTTACTTGTACTGTACCTCGAGTGCCTGGGAGATAATTAGTTTAAAGGGATACCCCAGGCACCCAGACCACTTCTGTCCATTTAAGTGGTCTGGGTGCCAACTCCCACTACCCTTAACCCTGCAAGTGTAATTATTGCAGTTTTCAATTTACCTTGCAGGGTTAACTCCGTCTTCTTAAAACACGAAAAGTGTTTTAAGCAACGCTGGACGTCCAGCGTCCACGAAATCCCCATAGGAAAGAATTGAATAATGCTTTCCTATGGGGAGGTCTAATGCGTACATGCGCATTGGGTCTCACCCGCCGGCTGACGTCGGCAGGAGAGGAGAGTAGGCGGAGCCTGACCAGCACTGAGGGACATCGACGCTGGACTCTGGTAAGTTTTAACCCCTTCAGCAACTTGGGATGGGGGGTGGGCGGGAGAGGGGCACTACAGGGCCTGCAGTGCCAGGAAAACAAATGTTTTCCTGGCACTGGAGAATCCCTTTAAGTAAACGCAAACTCACTTATCTCCCAGACATAGAGACACCTATGCGGGCTTACCTATATTTTTGCTGAAGACCCCATGTGGTTGGTCTGTGTATACAGTGAGGGAAAAAATCATTTGATTTTGAACATTTGCCCACTGACAAAGAAACAATCAGTCTATAAGTGTAATGGTAGGTGTATTTTAACAGTGAGAGACAGAATAACAACAACAAAAAATCCAGAAAAACGCATGTCAAAAAAGTTATAAATTGATTTGCATGTCAGTGAGTGAAATAAGTATTTGACCCCTTTGACTTCTTACTTGGTGGCAAAACCCTTGTTGGCAATCACAGAGGTCAGACATTTCTTGTAGTTGGCCACCAGGTTTGCACACATCTCAGGAGCGATTTTTTTCCCACTATTCTTTGCAGATGCTCTCCAAGCCATTAAGGTTTCAAGGCGGACGTTTGGCAATTTGAACCTTCAGCAACCTCCACAGATTTTCTATGGTATTATGGTCTGGAGACTGGCTAGGCCAGTCCAGGACCCTAATGTGCTTCTTCTTGAGCCACTCCTTTGTTGCCTTGGCTGTGTGTTTTGTGTCAGTGTCATGCTGGAATACCCATCCATTACTCATTTTCAATGCCCTGGCTGAGGGAAGAATGTTCTCACGCAAGATTTGATGGTACATGGCCCCGTCCATCATCCTTTTGATGCAGTGTAGTTGTCCTGTCCCTTAGCAGAAAAACACCCTCAAAGCATAATGTTTCCACATCCATATTTGACGGTGGGGATGGTGTTCTTGGGGATCATAGGCAGCATTCTTCCTCCTCCAAATATGGTGAGTTGAGTTAATGCCAAAGAGCTCGATTTTGGTCTCATCTGACCACAACACTTTCACCCAATTCTCCTCTGAATCATTCAGATGTTAATTGGCAAACTTCAGACGGCCTGTACATGTACTTTCTTGAGCAGGGGAAGCTTGCAGGCTCTCCAGGATTTCAGTCCCTCACGTGTGTTACCAATTTTTTTCTTGTTGACTATGGTCCAAGCTGCCTTGAGATCATTAACAAGAGCCTCCCGTGTAGTTCTGGGCTGATTCCTCACCGTTCTCATGATCATTGAAACTCCACGAGGTGAGATCTTGCATGGAGCACCAGGCCAAGGGAGACTGACAGTTATTTTGTGTTTCTTCCAATTGCGAATCATCACACCAACTGAAATCTTGCTGATTGATAGGGGATCGAATACTTATTTCCCTCACTGACATGCAAATCAATCTAACTTTTTTGGCATGCATTCTCTGGATATTTCTTTTTGTTATTATGTCTCTCACTGTTAAAATACACTTACCATTAAAATTATAGACTGATCATTTCTTTGTCAGTAGGCAAACGTTCAGCAGGGGATGAAATACTTTTTTCCCTCACTGTATAAGCTGGCAACTTGGCCATAAAAAAAAAATTCTTGTGTACCCTTCATCAAGTCTCGACTGATGTTTGGGTATGCAATAGAGAGAGCACGACTTTCACACAAACCTTGCATGAATTCAGGAAATTTCAGACATACCACTCTAGGTACAGGGAGTTCGTTACACATACTCATCCAGAAAGCTTCTCAGTTTATTGGTCGCTCCCTGTGGGTTTCACGTATTCACCCCTGGGGAACAATTGTATAATTTGCTGTAGTATGTGTAAAACACTGCAGAGATAGCCTTGGGAAATTAAGTGAATGCGTTCTGGTGAAGAGCGTATACCTTGGATCTGGCATTGGGCATGTTTTTTCTGCAACATTCATGCTAGTAAATGGTTGCATGTGTTAGGGTACACAAAATAAAATCTTTTGAAAGGTGAGGGGTTTTTGGAGAGATTAGTTCATTCAACCATCTTTTAACTAAGACTACTTTCCTAAGCACTGTATCGGTGGAACTTTGTGTGTTCCCTAAAACACTGATCTAATAATGCAGGCTACACCAAATTTAATATAGTGACCACAAATTAAGCATTTAACTGCTTCCCAGACAATAGGTTTAGGCATATCTGGAGAGTCAAAAGAAAAAAGTGCACTATTCACCACAGTGAAAATAGTGCACTACCTGGAAATAACTGCATCAAATAAATGTTACAAATGGATCTAGTCAAAATGTAGAAAATGAAAAATCACAGAGACCCTCATATGATTGTATATTAACACCAGCCTTATAAGCCTTCTCCTAGACCCTGATATAGCTATCAAATAGAATAGGGATAGCAGGGGACAAAACCAGTGGGCACTTATGGAACAATTTATATATAAAAACAGGCTTTACTGCAAGTGGCCAATCCACATACTGCTAATAATATAAAAGTATTGATTATGCCCCAGGAAGGTAGAGAGGGTAGTAATAATGAGGGCTTGTAATCAAGCTATAAAAATAAAAGTCCCTTAAGATATGTCAGATACAGCCTCTCTTCCTTCAAATCTTCTTAGACAGGTATAGGAGAAGAATGAAAATAAAGTAAGACACTTACATCAACATGTCAAGATAGTGAAATAAAGCGTGAGGTGAAGTGCCCAAAAAAAACCACCCATAACTAACAATCCAACACGCGTTTCAGTTCAGACCTACATGGTCTGACATTTGTCAGAGGAATTTTCATTCTTTTACTATGCCTGTCTTGTAAGAATGAAGGGAGAGAGGCTGTGTCTGACATATCTTCACCTTTTGGTACTTTTATGTGCCACACCATATGGAAAGATTTTGTCTGCACCAGGTTGAGATCACTGAACTACGCGGTAGGACTTCTTATTAACTCCAGTTGAACACAAGGCAATCATTTACTGCCTTTGGACTACTAGGCATTTATTAGTCCCTACTGGACTATCAAGGGAGATAGTTTGTATCCTCTCCAGCTTACTTTTTTTGCAGGTTGAATGCTATTTTCATATTGTATTTCACTAATGCAATTGAGTTTAAATAAACACTCTGCTTACAAAGCATACAATGTTTGACTTCAGTTTTCTTGTTTACAGTGTTGGCACTTTGAAATTAAATAGTTAGACCCTGAGGAGGCCGACCAAAGGGCTAGCTGGGAACAGGGACATGAAGTTCCTTGCCAGTCAGGGTTGAACCAACGATCCAGTGGAAATGGTCCAGTGCTGATCCCTTCCCTAGCCTCGGGATTACATTATGATGGACGTGCCCACTGAGCCAAAGCCAGTGGTTAGCATGGATGGTATTGGAAGGCCAATGGTGGTCTATGGATGAAGGGGATGGGGGGGGGGGTGAGGCAAGCATCCAGGTTATTTAAATGGTTGGCAAGGATTTGGTAATGGAAATTGCAGTAAATTAATGTCATGTTAATAAAAAGGTATGGTTTAAAATAAACCTGTGGCATGTTTGTCATTATTTCAGTCTTATGTCAAGTTATTGTGGGTAAGTTATAAATAAAAGATTTTTTTCCTACACTCTCTCAACCACCTTCACACATTTCCAGGTGCAGTTTTAGCACTCCGTTTCAAGATTTGCCATCACCGTCCTCAAATGTTTCTTTTGTGGACAATTAAGATAAAAAGTTTATTAAATTTTCCACAGCATCTTCACATTCCCCCCCCCCCTTTTTAATTAATTCAGGTATGCCAGACAGAATGGGCTGAAATACCTTTGTTAGGTGTCTCTTTCCTAAAGTAGAGCAGTTGTATAAATACATTTTAAACAAAGAGGCAGTCGTTTTACTGTTTAAAAATATTCAAAGACCGGTTTTATTGCAATATGTTCCTGAAAGTGTGGGAATGTGTGCAAGATGGGTAGCATTTAGTTTACACATCAAAACAACTTCATTTTCTACAACATAAAGTGTTATTACTTTAGCGCTGAGTAAAGTTGGGAAGGAGAATTTTTTTATTTTGGCTACTTTACATAGCAGCGCCCCCATCCCCAAAACAAAATGCATAACTGATGAACAGTCATTGTTCTAACCTGTTAAAGATGCAATCTCCTAATAATTTGTTCAAAATCCTTGCTGCTGTGTGTCAAGAGATCTGACAAAAAAAAAATGGTCTAGTTCCAGAGCCCAGGCAATGATTGTTATACTTACAGTGAGGCCTACAGTCCGGTTAGTCCGTCAGTGAAGATCAGCGTTTGTATTAGAAATGGACTTCTATATTACCTACCTAGGCTGACAAAGCCTGGGCAAACCTCATCACAACAGATGGAATCCTAGTACTGTGTGGCAGATAGAGTTTTAAATTTTATATGAGCAAACTTACAGATTGAACTATCTGTAACAAAATATGCAAAGATGCCAAAAGTGAGAACCACTTAGTATCATACAATTGTATTAACTGGTTTTTATTTGAAGCAAAAAAGGTACACTATTTAAAGTAATATGTATGCAACATAACCACTACAACACTGTTTAGTTATATCGCAGAAGTCCCATGTAGCTCTCACCGTTTGTAGTCTACCCTGATTAAATAAAGCAGAAGCTTATCCATTGACAGTGGTCAGGTAGCTCCTTGAACCATAACCAACACAAGGCACAGTGGTGCATAGTGTTCTGTTATTGCTCAAAATGATTCCTTGCCATTATTTGGAGGTTTTAAGATGCATATTCATCGTGACAATCAGTGATGCAGGATTCCTTACTGGTGAAGTGTATGGAGTATCCCACTAATAGTCTTTATTCTTGATCCACCAGATGTCAAGATATGAGCAGGATGGAGTTAGGTGTGGGTGAAATAGAAAACCATAGAGATGGACATTACAGTATATTCTTAAACTGATTTTTATACACACACACACACACACATACACACACACACATATACACTTTAAGCATGCAAGCATCAACTTTAACTGAATTTTAAAGATGTCTCATGTAGATTTGCAGAATCAAAGTCAGACAAGTCATTTGTAAAAACAGGTTATTTTATTTGATTTCACCAAAACAAGACTAAAAAGTTTCCAACATTTAAAAATCAGCAACAGCCAGTAAAGATAAAATAAAAATCAAACCTTCATGTGCAAAAAGGGGTTCCTCTAAGATTCTCATCTGACCATTTCTCTCAACAAAAAGTAATACTTAGACTTCTCTACACATGAGCACCCAAGTGCTTGCTCTAGGCTCACTTATGGAATTATATCAGGGATAGGTGGAAAAGGCAGCCAAAAAAAAAAAAAAAATTATATATCCTTAAGGGGTTAAAAATATATATATATATATATATATATATATATATATATATATATATTTTTTTTTTTAACCCCTTAAGGATGTGTGACATATCATGATTCCCTTTTATTCCAGAAGTTTGGTCCTTAAACAGGCAGACCAATAAACTGAAACATTTAGACCAATTTTGCCATTCAAGGCTTGCAGCACATGGCTCAGAGCTGAAGACCTCTGACAAAGTATTAGAAACTCTTGATCAAAATTTTCAATTTTAGCCGGCTCTTGATTTGGACACCAAATGATAAATGTGCATCAGATAACTTTTCCATCTGTTAAAAAGGAGCCAATGCAAACAGCAGGTGCACATAACACACAAGGCTTCTGGAATTTTAAGTTATTACCTGGCTCTAACTGGAATGTTTAGGAGGGAGTGGCAACAAATTAACTTTAACTAGGGCACTTAGGCATTCCAGTTGTACATAGCCATTTGATGGTATGCCGTTTAAGTCTAATTTATACTGAATGATGGATTGTAATAGTTGGTTAAAGTCACAAGTCATAACTACATGCAATGTTTGGCCTTGTTCATTCACCAGGCCCCAGTAACCATGTACTATTGGCCTAAGTGTTCTGGACAAAATAAAATAAATTAAAAAGTGTAGGTCAAAGATTAGAGATGGCTCTTCATAACTGAGGTAGTTTGCTTACTTGAACATAAGGCTCTGATCAATTTCTAACAACGTATGGCTTAGAACATTGCCAACGAGGACTTCTGGTTATGACATTTTTCAAGTGACTTGCTGTTGCATCCACATACGTCCAGACAGTTTGCCTTGGTGCAAAAGTCAAAATAACATTTATATATAAAAAAAAAAAAACCCAACTCAATACCTCAATTTAAGAAGCTTTCAAAATGATTCAATATTGTTAAAATTTAGTATCAAAATCTTATCTACAATAATTCCAGTAGGCATTGTGATTTCTGCAGACCGATCATTTGGGAAGTTTTCCTAATCATTTAGAAAGCATATTAAATAGAGACCAGATTAAAAAAAAAAACCTATGTTCATTTTAAAGCTTCCATCAGCATTAAATACATTGGCTATTTAATTTGTTTCAAGACCACATTTGTTAAGTTTAGCTGGAAGTCAGATGCAAAGCAAAATGGCTTCCCAATTTTAATTGAAAACAGATTAAAATTTTAGGAAAGCCAAATATTGCAGCTTCTTATATACAGGTCACACATCTGATGGATTTTGTCTTTGTTGTTTTTCATCAAACACTTTATACCACATTACAATTTACAAACTAAAAGTGTTTGAATTGTCAATTTTCTCAGTTGTTAAAGTGTAAAGTATTGGTCATGGGTAAAAGGGATTTTGACATTTATTAAATTTCCTCTAAGGATCCAAAAGGGGAGCCAAGCTTCCAATCGGTGTCATTTATTTTTCTTAAAACTTTTACTGAATCTATACTACTGATGCTTTAGAAGTCATTTTGTTCATGTATCTACAACATTAGCAAGGCAAACCTTATTTAACACCACAAACATTTCTATTTTAAACTTAAAATTTGCTACAATCCAGTTTCACTCTTAGGTCACTAAACCAAAGACTTAGAGAGTTTTGTTCAGTCCAAAATCTAGGAGGAGTTTGAAATGATACACTGCACAGCATCAAACCTATTTTGAAGTTGGAAAAAATATTTACAATTTTTTTTAAAAAGTGTAGATTTCAATATTAATAAAATACTAGCCTCACATACCATATTGCACATACAAAGTAGCTTTCAGTCTGAATTGACCAGAAAAACAAAAAACAAAAAAAAAAACCAAAAACCTACTAAAGCTCAGTGGATATTAAAAAAAAATAAAAAATTCCACATCACTAGAAAACTAAGTCTTTCCAAGCAAAGGAGGACTGAATCTTAGAAGTTCACATTTGCAAACCACATCTCCACAATTAAATTACCTCACATACCGCATTGATACTACAGAAAGCATTTGCCTTGAGAATCGTTTGACATTCTAGAATCTTCCCCACCCATGTAGACTCAAGACCAGAGCATTGACTACTGCAGGGAATGGAGCACATTATTCCTGGTACAATGTTCTGTAACAGCAGCGGATGCTCATCCGTTAAAAGTTTTGGAAGACAACCCAATTGTTTTTTTTTAAAGGGCTGGTTAATATTTTGCTTGCTTATTCCTTTCATAACAAATACAGCTCCAAAGGGTAGCAAAGGCCATTAGGAACTTTTTTTTAGGCAGGGTTTAAAGCAAAAGTCACCAAAAAAAAAAAAAAAAAATTTTTTAAATTCTACCTAGGCAGCATGTGTAAGGCACATATTAAAATTCCTAACCAAAAAAAAACCTGCAACATTTAGCATCTTATGAAATCTTAACTATTTAAAATAATTCAGGAGTTAAAAAATAAAATTACACCCTTTACAGGGACTGTGTGACATAAGTGTCATCTGTTGAATGTATTCACAGAGTTCTAGTTTAAAAAATAAAAATAGATCAAAACAGTCTCAAATATTACTTTCATCTTCTTTCACGACATCATCAGAATTCTGTGGAAGGACAGAAAGGTCATTATTCACTTTCTGCTCAGGCAAAGCAGCATTTACTTCTTGGCTTTTCTTCTCTTCTGCCTTCTTCTCACGTGCCAATAGCCAGTAGTGAATGGTCATTCCAATGATGAGGTAGACTGAGGCAACAATCAGTATAACTCCACAAGCTTGATAGGTGTACTTGTAGTCTCCATGTATGTCATTTAATTTACCTACAAAGTGCAGAAAGAAAGATTAGCTTTAAGACTGCGACTCATGTTTTCGTTTCGTTAAAATCAGAAGATCTTTAAATATTTACACATATTGGGGACTCCCTATTATCAGTGTCAACATTGATGTGTCAGATTTCAAGACACGTGTAATCTACAAAATATTGACAAGATTCAAACATTAACTAGCAGTGTAGCCTTAAAATTCAACTAAATAAGGTCAGTGATAAAGAAGTATGCCACTTTACACTTATGTGACGTGGATAGAAACATCTAGAATTACTGCAGTTTAAAACCTTGCTTGATTTTACACAATAAATATTAGGCTGGGAGTAATTCTATAAAGAAAGCAATAGCTTGGGGACGAGAAGAAAGTGTCTGTTTTACCTAAAAGAGGTGGTCCTAGAAGTACAGGACAGCATTCCACAATGGTCACCAATCCAACAGCACTGGAGAACCTCTGTGCTCCGACCAAGTCCATCAAGGTTTCAAACAGCACCGAGCTTAACCAACCAAATGCAAAGCCAAAGAAACCAGCATAGATTGAAAAACCAACATAAGAAGTGTTCAGTGGAGCACACAGATGGCACACTCCATTGATACACACTGCTACAGCAAAAAAATACTGAATCTTTGGCCTGACCAATTTTGTGTTTGCTACAAGACCCATAGATGGTCTTGCAACCATGTCAACAAACGCAAGTATAGAGAGCAAGAATGCAGCCGACTCATTTGAAATTCCTTTGCTCTTTGCATAGTTGCTGAGAAAAACCAAGGGAGCAAAAAGTCCAAAGAACATTATCATGTGTCCAGATAAGTAGATCAAGAAGCCTCTATGCGTGAAGAGTGAAAAATCTAAGAATTTGTTGATTGTCTGAAAAAATTTTGGCTTAGTTTTTGCCTTGCCATCAATAAGGTCTTTGTTTGCATCCCCATCTTCTTTTGAGGTACATTTTCCAGCTTCTTCCAATACCTCTTTAGTCACTTTCTTGTTAGAGTCTGGTTTTGGACCAATGGGGCGCATCAAGGAGCCAGCAACACAACAGTTCAATAGAAGTCCACCAAGTATCAAGAAGCTCCCTCTCCAGCCAAATATGCTGTAGAAGTACTGATTCAATGGAGCCAAAGTGGACAAAAACACAGGGCTTCCTGCCATAGCCAATCCGTTTGCAATAGGCCTCTTTTTAAAGAAATATTTTCCAATCATGGTTAAGGCTGGATTTAAGTTGAAAGCAAGACCAAAGCCTGTTAAAATATAAATGGGAAAAAAAAATATATATAAATCTAGAATATTCTATATCACAAAGTGAACATTTAGAAATATTTTAATTAGGATATTTTAAATATATATTTTTAGAAATTAAGAGATGTTTTAGGTTAAATTACAGTGCTCAGAATATTGGGGTTTTGAAGTTTTAAATTCAGTTCTGCTATTAAGACAGCTCACAAACAGTGAAGATGAACATGTCAGTTTAGAATCCATTAAATTGCATGGACAAGTGTATACAAGGTAAAAATGGATGCTGGCCCAGCCTCCTGTTGTATTGCTGTCAGCACAAATCTATTCTGGCGACACGACCTAGTGTCATACCCTGCAGAAGAGGGTACTCTGGGGAGCGTAAAAAGCAGGAATGGAAGCTTAAGAACCAGTTTTGCAAAATTCAAAGCAGGATTTTACATGTTGTAGAGGTTTTAAGTATAAAATTACACTAAACACTTTACTCTCAGCATTTAAAATTTTAGGAAAGGAAAAAAAAAAACGTAATTTCTTCAACTAGTTCAAACATGTTCATACTTTGTTTTATATGATTTTAAGAGTTCAATATTCATTTAAAATATTACTTACCTCCAATGACACCAATGCAGAAGTATAGCTCTGTCACAGTATTGCAGAATGAGGCTGCAATTAATCCAGTTCCAGCTAAACAGCCACCACCTATCATAATAGGACGACTTCCGTACCGGTTTACCAAGACACTGCTTATTGGACCTAGGAGAATGGATATGCCTTATTAATGAGCAGTCATTTGACATTTAAAAAGATTTACCAAAAAAAATAAAATAAATGTATCCACTACAACCCACTAGAAACAATTAGCCATCATAAATAAAATAGCCAATTTAGATATGCTCTCCGCACCAGTGGTTTAAGCTTGTCACAGGAAATAGAACACATGCTCTATGCTGCTTTCTTTCTATTGACAGAACAGGAGCAGAAGTATTATGTGGGGTTGTACTTGCACATTGTCTCTTACAAAATAACTGTAATTGCTTCCAATTTCACTACCTCCTCAATCATGACAATTACCCACCCTCAAATTATACATTTTTCTGCGACAGAAGTATGAAAAAACAAAAAACCCCCCCAAAAAATCTCTGCTAACACAGATCAGTCTAAATCCCTAGCTGCAGAGAAGGGGAAGGAAGGTTCTCCCATGGGTCAGATTTTATTTTCTCCCGACAATCTAAATAGGTTTGTTACAAAACTGGCACGATCACGGTCACATTTTACTGTATACACTTAATTTAAATAAACCCATACACAGATCACCATAAAATTCTAATTCCTGCTATGTGCTCCATAACATAACCCCTGCAATATTTTCTTGGCTGGCAAGTTAATGTTAGACTTTAGGGTCACAATCACTTATTACAAGACAGTTACTATGCTCTGGAAAACAATAAAAGTAATGAGAAGTTGTGTTGTGAGTTAGTTACAGGTCAATGGATATCAGTGTGCATTACATAAAGTTACTGTGTAACCCAAAAATTACCACCCCCATGAAGCATTTGTACACAGAAGTTAACTGTAATACACCAGTTCACAGGTTAATTGTATTGCGTTACAGCATAACCAATGCCAACTTTAGAAAAAAAAAAAACCCCAAAACTGAATCTACTTCTCCCAGTCACCCATTAGCTCAGGCCAATTTGCTTGAGTCAGAATGCCAGAACCTCTACCAGACCAAACAGTGGAATGTCCAATTTTTTTTGTATAAATAGAATGGTGGTGAGTGCTATACACCAAGTACCCCATGGTCAGGAGCAAGTAGTGGACACTACACCCTCCTGCATTCATTTTATTTAGCCACCACCTAATGAGTACTTGAGCCCAGTCTATGTTTAGACATTTAGTAGACATACCCACACTACTACATGGCAGGTGGGGCATAGGGAGAATATAAATATACACACACTTTTTTTTTTTAAAGCCCTTGCAAGCAAAGTGCCACATTAACCCTTGTGTCGTAATGCTTTATTATGCAGCCTCCTTCCACTTGTCACTGGAGGTGGGCAGAAGCCCCAAATGCTACTTCGTATGCTACAGGCATAAACCATAACGTTTCCAGCGAATGACTGTCCAGTTGAAGAATGAAGCAACCTCAGCAACTTAAACTGTGTTCATTCTAGAGAGAGACACACAAGTAATACCACTCATGTGAAGTATTGTCTTTAGACCGATATACAAGTTATAAATAGGCCAAGCTGCATCCAATGGATATGACCAATGCATTAGAATTAGTTTTCCATGTGTCAGAATTTAATTAGACCAGTTTGTGGATAGCATTGTTTATGAATATAGCAACCTACTACATTGTTACCTAAACAAAGACAGGTTGCACCACAAGAATATAATAAGATACAGTCATTAATCTAATTAAATAATCCAGAATGAAAAGGAATGCCCCTTTAAACGCAATGCAAGTTCTTTGGTAGATGGTAGATTCTACTGGAAAGCAGGTTCCTTGGTAAAATCCTTCTAGATGTGGAAAATAAAAATAAGTGGTAATCCAATAAATCAATACAAGCATGGTGTATATAACCAAACAGCGGTATTTAATGGAGCCATGACCAGCTCCAGTAGCATACAGTGGTATAATCCCACTTCAGGGATATGTGGATAAGTGTCCGAAGGAGAGGTAGTTTTGCTGAACCCAAAATTACAATGCAAAATGCAGATCGTGCGCTGTTGCAATAAAGAGGACAATTATCTGCTTTTTATTTTCGTCATTTTGGGTTCAACAAAATGACCTCTCCTTCAGACACATCAATATATCCTGCAAGTGGTGGTTATACCATTGTACACTACTACAACCGAAGCTGGTCAGAGCTCCAGTAAATGTAAGATACTGCCGTTTTATTATACACACCATGCTTATACCGATTCATTGCACTATTGCATTTCCTTTTCTGTTTTACATATCTTACCACGGAACCTACTTTCCAGTAGAAGAATCTACCCAAGAACTTCTAGAGCATTTAAAATGAGTATTCCTTTTTTCCTCTGGACCATTTTCATTTGATTACTGAACACAGTATTTTATTGTATTCTTGTAGCGCAACCGCTTTGTTTATTTCTGTTGATCCTGAAAGAGGGTTGGAGGGATCCTTTTTTTAGTTTGCGGTCCTGCCTTATCTGGTTGATTAGCACTAAACCTGCTCTCTTTTGTAAATCACCTTGCAACTGGAAGCCATTCAGCCTGGCATACATGAGTGAAAGAAAGATTATGCCCTTTTAACACCAGACACCACCAGTGAGGAAAGAAGAAAAAAAAAATAATAAGTCGCAACCCACTTGTCAAAAATAGCAAGTGTGCCCATGATTGGGTTATTTGTCCGCACTTTATAAATTCTATATTATACATGTGACATGTTTAAAACACAAAATGGAATTCAGAGTGTACAATTTACACTAACTGCTTTGTTCTACAAGAAACATTGATTAAAACTGTTTTAGAAAGTACCGGATTTATTTTTAATTTGAATCAATGACCACCAGTTCATCTAATTAGCACTGAGGGAGAACATAATGCTTTTATTTGTTGAAGTTCTGACCAGCTGGAAAGCAACAGTGACGTGCTCAGCTAAACCAGCACAGTTTAATCTGAGGCAACTCAGGTCAGACAGATAAATCGGAGTTTGAAGTTTATTTTAAACCAATAATTTTCCATATGACCAGAGTTGTCTGTCTAAAATAGAGAGTATGTAAACCTCTGCTTTTGGTCCAAGACATTCACACAGCTTGTCATGATAAATTATCTGTATGCATGCTTTTCTTAATGCAATGATCTTGTATAATCTGCAGATTGGTTAGGAAACTCCAATAACCACTTATTCTGTAATCCAAGCTCTGGTGCTCCGATATAGTTAGTTACAAACTAAAAATAAAACCGCAAGCATAAAAATATAGCTTTTGATATACAACTCAACTTTAATCTGGCACCATTACAAGGTTTTTGATAGTACCTCAAGACCATTAGGTCAGCCTCAGAAGACTGGGTGTTGGCACCACCATCTTCTCAGGAAGTTCAATATAAATGTTTAATCTCTCCACAGCACTCCTCACTCCAATATGAACACGTAAACTATCAAGATATAAAAAATAAAAAAAAATAATAATCATCTAGATGTAAGGATTTACTAGCAGAAGTGATGGCCATTCGCTTATGTGCAATTTTGTCAAAGGTCACCCTAAATGCAAGTCACTACATTGCAATTTTTTTGTGCCTCAGGTAAACAAATACAAGTTATAACTGACAAGGCTTTCTATAGACCACCATTCTAGTATTTGTGTATACATAGATTGTGAGACATGAATGGTCTTCAAAGATGATAGAATTATGAAAAGAAAATTTTGAGCTGAGAACTGGAGATTAAAAACTTGCTTTACTTGCCTCTTCTCCATCGGTGCACCAGTCCCGAGATTAATCTTCATGATCTTAGCCAACCAATGCTTTTTCCATCGGAAAATACAGCACATCAACACCTTCTCAGAGATGCATTTTCTCAGTGTCTTTACTGGTAGCATTCAGAGTCTCCTTGCAGGTGAGCACCAAGCAGCAATGTGTTTATATAGAGATGCAGGAAGATACATGGAAGTACAAAACCCTAGTTTATCAAGCTTTTTGGACCACTTTTAGAACACTGGATGATGCTCGTGAGGCTTGAGTTACTGTTATAAAAGGTTGTTCCTTTTCGTGCCCTTTAATTGCAGGTTCAACTTGCGAGATAATAGGATAAAGGCAATGCACATCAGTTATTTTATAGTAAAGATTTTTGCTTTAGACACTAGGCTTGCTGGATGGTCAGTGTCCACTTCACTTAAAAGCCTGGTTATTATTGACTCTAAATACACAGCACCTAATCTCCACTCACTTGTTGATTTTCACTATTCTTTCAACCCAAGTGCTATGGAATCTGTTCGCGCTATATAAAATGTAAATAACCTACTAAAGAAGCCAATTTTTATTTTTTTAATTCTTCCTTTATAATAGTTGTACCCGGGGGGTGGGGCCTGGTGTCCGAGCCGGCTGGACATGTTTCTCCCAGGCTCCTGCTAAACCGAGCTACAAAAACCAAGCTATGTCTGATAGAAAATGCTGCCAAACGAGACCCTGAGCTACATACAGATCACTAAACAAGCTGGAAGCGCACTGTTTAGTCCGGACCCATATCCAAAGCAACAACTATATTCTGCTCAGAGGCCTACCTGGGCAGGCCTGGAGTTTAAGCTACTTGTATTTTGCATGTTTCTATGACCTTACTATTAATGTATTGGCCTAATGTGAATACTTTATTTTTTTTAAAGAAAAGTGCAGTACATCTTGACCTTACTTGTTTAAACATGGTCTTCACACCTCTTGTTATAAGTCAATACGAAAGCTTGTACTTAACACTACACGGCTAAAATAAAGAATTAAAAAAAAAAAAAAAATATTAGTTGTACCCAACGTTAATATCCCTCACTCTGTACAGTAATCAAAGACAAGCATCACTTCCTGCTGTTCCATGTGTCATAACTTGACTAAAGTGGTGGGAATTATAGAGCAGCAAGATTCTGTGAACAGTGTTTTAGGAGCTGGAATGAGTGGAAGCTTGCTGAAGTGCTTTATGGGTGAAAAGTATCCCATAAAAAAAAAAAAAAAAAATGACAGTTTATAAATCCTGCCCTTTATGTGAAAAGGCAGCATTTACATAAACAAAAAAAAACAAAAAAAAAGGCAGGGAAATACTATAGTCACCAGAACCACTACATTTAATATAAAACAGATTGCTTTATAGTAGACAGTGATTTTTGGAAAGACAATTCCTTGCTTATGTAAATAAAATTTATCTGTTCCAAATCTGTCAAAGTGTTTGGGACTTCTAACTAAGGATCGACCGATTATTGGTTTAAACAAAAAAAAAAAAAGCCGATTTGGCATTTTCGGCAGTATCTGTATTGGCAAATATAGATACCGATATTACCTCCTAAGGTCGCCAGGCTCGTTACAAGTCTGGCAGTCTTGGGGGGGCCTGCAGAAAGCTGTTACTTACCTTTCTTGCAGATCCTCCCCCTGTACTTATTATACGCCCTGAGGCAAACCAGTTTGGACTCTACTCTGCCCCGGACAGGGACGTCTGACATGCATTCGTCATGGATGGTGGTTAGCATGTTGACATTCTTCCTGTCCCTAAATTTTAATGCAAGCACTTCAGCTTTGGAAATGCTTTACATTCGCTTTTTTTAATTTTGCCATAATGAGAGATCGTGGAAAGTCTTTGGCATTTTTTCTGGCAGTGCCGCAGGCCAGTGTCTAAACTATAACGTGTTTTAAACAGACGGACACTACTATAAAAATTATCCACATAAATGTGGTAACCTTTATTAAACAAGGGGTTTAGTAGGTCCCATACAAGTTTCCCACTTGTCCCCAGGGAGTCAGGACAGCCAGGAGGGTCCAGTTGACCATCTTTCCCCTCATATACACGAAAGGCAAACGTGTATCCACTTTTGCTCTCGCACAGTTTGTACAGTTTTATGCCATATCTAGAGCGCTTTGAGGGGATGTATTGTCTGAACCCTAACTTCCCTTTGTATTTCATAAGCAATTCATCTATGGATAAATTTTGTTGGGGGTTTAAACATCCAAAAATTTGTCCTGAAAATTGTCTAGCAGTGGGCGTATTTTATGAAGCCCATCGTATTGGGGGTGATAGAGGGTATTGTCACTGAAATGTAATCTCAGAAGTAACTCGTATCTGGCTCTAGGCATGGTTTGGGAGAATACTGGACTAGACATTATTGGGTTGGTGCTCCAGTATGAGCGAATTGATGGCTTCTTTATAATCCCATGAGCATTGTAAGAGCCCAGAATTTAAGCTCTGGGACATCTGTGGGATGCCAGTCACGCTCCCTGACTGTATAGCTACCTGGATTGTTATCAATAAATTGGGTAGCATACAAGTTAGTCTGGGAAGGAATCTCCTCCCAGATGGTATCCCCTAAAAATAGTTCTACATACTGCATTGGGGAGAAGCCACCCACATTAACATTAATGCCTGCGTTGGCACTAAAAAGGTGGGACGTTGGGCTCGGCTAACTGTGGAGGTACCCAGTCCTCCTCCACATTCGGCATAGCAGTGTCAGTGGCGTCAGAGTCTGACGCCAAGAAGGCATATGCCTCCTGCAAGTTATACATACACTGCATGTTTTACACACTACTAAACAAATTAAAACACACTAATTTTTTTTTTATATTCCCCCCCCCCCACTAAAACAGACTAAACTAACTCCTGTCACAAAAATCTAATGGAGATTTGGGAGAAGGAAAGAGACCAAGACACAGGATTTTTAAAATTATATTTAACCCCTGTAAGGGCAATAAATAAATAAATACAGACAGTACAAATGCACCACTGTAACCGATCTGGCAGGGAATGGTATTAAAAAGTGATTTTTTTTTATAAAATACTGATACTTTCTGATGGTCACTGAACACTGCTGCAACAAACTATCACAATCTCTGTCTCTCTCGCCTCACAAAATGCTACAGAGGAGAGAGGGGCAGAGATCACTGTCAAAGTGAGTGTAACACCCACTTTGACAGCAGCCAATTGTGAGTGATCGCGGATATCACACACACACACACCGCAATTGGCTGTTACTATCTGCCTGGGGTGTCTGGCAGATATTTACAGTGTTATACCGGCGGGAGCGATCTTTGATAGCTTTCCGCAGCCAGTTTTTCGCTATGACAGTTCAGAACCGTGAGCAGTCCTGAAGGGGTTAATTTTACAGTAGTCACCTCATCAACCACCATCTTAACATGGTTTTTACTTGGCTAGTATTTAGCTTTCCCTACCTTTAATGCCAGCCCCATATTTAGGACAGTGGATTTAAATGTCTATATTGCAAGTAGCAAGTCATTTGTACACAAGTACACCCATAGGGCTATGCATCTGCTTCAACTGCAAAATTATGGTTTTGTAAGAGGTGCCGTAAGTGTGCACCTGTGATTGACAGTAGGCCTTACCTCCAGCATACATCACGGCCAGCATGATTGAGGAGATCCATGACACTTCACTACTTGTGGCTCCAAAGATAACTTCAATCTCTTTGAAGAATACAGTGATGGATTTTGGGAAAGCATAAGAAAAACCAATGGAAACAAATGCTCCTACAACAACTGCCCAGCCCCAGCCCCCTTCAGGTGGGGTGTAACCAACTGGGCCTCCAACTGCTGGTGCCATTTTCGAGAGTGGAAGCCTTTTCTTCAAAATCCTGAGGAGAAAAAAAAAAAAAATGTAATTAAAAAAAATATATAACTGCATTTTAAGACTTATGGTTTTGGTTTAATAGGATGAGACATTTGATAATACATGGGATATTAGAACATTAAGCAACACAGAAGTTAGCTGATCACAATAAATAAAAAAATAAAAAAAAAAATAAAAAAAAAAAGTAGCTTATAATCAATGAACTATTTAAGGCTTGGCCAAGAGTAGGCCTTTATACAATTCACAATATTTGCCCATTTTTTACATTACGACCACTCCAATTCAACACCATCTCCTCTAGTTTTGGCTCCCCCCCTATTTTCTCATCTTATACAGCAATAAGATTGTTCTATTGGAACACTAAGTTTATTTGCTGTACGGTGTTTGAGGAATCTAAACTGCAGCAAGTTCAATAAGCCATTTAAGCTGAAAACCTTTACATGCAACAATAAAAAAAAAGTTTACATTTCCAATGTAGAATTATTTTGAGATAGGACATTGTACTTTGAAGTTCAAATTCAAGGTTGATTTCAACACACGGAAAGGCAAGACAAAAATCGTATGTTAACTAGTCCTCCCATTGATCACATTACAAAGTCATGTGCTTTAAATGAGACAGCATTTATCTCAGAGGTATTCAAGACTCATTGGAAATATTAGATTGGGTCATGCCCTTGCTCTGCTCATTTTGACAAGGCACTAGAATTGTCAGTGCTTTCTAGTGCAACACATTATTTTAAGTGCCAGTGGCAGAGCCAGAACAGAGCTATAACCTTGTCTGCTAGACAATGTCCCAATGCAATATGCTTACACTGCAGGTCTGTTGTGACTAAACATTTTTGTACCCGAGGGAATATTGAGTAAGAGTAGGGGGTGAACACAATTCTTCATGTATGGAAAGCGCATTTAGACATTAACAGCAAGTCAGTCAGATCCTGTGAGATGCCTGCTAATAAGAGGGAAACTTGTCACCAGAACGACAGCTTATGGTATTTGTTCTGGTGAGTGTAATCATTCCTTTCAAGCTTTTCGAATTTGTCTTTTCAAAGGAAAAAATAAAATAAATGAGAGTTTACATTACAGCCTGGGGATACCTCCTCTGGCCACTCCTCAGATGGCTGCTAAAGGCACTTCCTGGGGCAGCGTGGCACAGTGACTGCCATTCAATGTCTCCACCAACCTCTGCATAGAGGCCATGAACTTTCCACATTGATGCAATGCATCTCTGTGAAGAGATGACGATTGGCCATGGCTGTCTTAGGCTTGTGCTGGATCTGCCTCCTTAACAGTCTCAGCCAATCCTATTCTTTCCTACAGGAAGGCATTTGATTACCACAAATCACCTCTTCTGATAAAGTCAGCCAAGGAGGGAGCCGACTGGAATAAAGGCAAGATTTTACTATATTTTGTGATAAAGGAGAGGCTAGATTGTGTCTTTATATTGCAGGCTTAAAGGAACACTATGGGGTCAGGAACATGTAAAGCATTGCTACTGAACACACTTCCTCTTCCAGACCATAATAGAGAGTGTTACCTAAATGCTCCTCACAGCAGTATTTGATTGAAGGCATGCAGCATTTGGCTGTGCATGTATGAAAAACAATGGATTTGAGGAGATTGCAAAGATGTATGTCAACATGCGTGCAGTCATCTGAAGGGAGAGCAGGCTGCTGCAGAAGCAGAGGAGTCTTGGCACAGGAAACGAAGCGAGGATACACACATTTTAGGGATGCACCGAAATGAAAATTCAGGATGCCCTTGGCTGAGAGTGACTTTCCCCCCCCCCAAAATTATTTAAAAACTAAAAAAGAAAATATAAATACAAATCTGTTATCAAGGACTAAAGAATATATTGTTGATATTAGTTTAATATCAATATACATTCTTCATTCAGTTTTATGCAACAGAATCAGATTTAACATTTTAAAACAAATTGTTTATTGCAGTTTGTTTATAATATAGATATGTGGGTGTAGAATACAGTCTCCTGTCTGTAATGAACCTTTCCAGCCTCACTCACACTCAGTCCATGTGTTACAAAGCACTGACTCTGCAGCTTTCTTTAACCAACAACACTGCCAAACAGATCTCACACTCTGCAGAGTTTAATATTATGCCTGCCCTCATCCAAAATGGCCACTCTAACACCCACTTGCGGTGACATCAGTGTTCTATAATAGTGAAAGAGTTTGCATCTGTAGTGAGTGCAGGCATTGTGCTCCAGAGACAAACCCGAAGTGGCTTCACTGAGGACACTGGAGAAAGGAGAGTGAGTGGATAAAGGGCTAAGACACCCAGTGAGGTGGGTATTATAATATCCATATTAACAGTGTTTTTATAACAATTTTTAATAAAGCACCATCAGATTCCGTAGCGCTGTACAATAGGTGGACTAACTGACATGTAGTTGTAACCAGACAACTGGACATACAGGAACAGAGGTGGAGGGCCCTGCTCAATGAGCTTACATTCTAGAGGGAGTAGGGTATAGTGACAAAGTGTAAAAGTAGGGGTATGAAGTAGGTTGTTAGAAAAGTATTCACTGAGGGCTTAGTAGGTAGTTTTTGACAGTTGCAGGACAGGAGTCATGAGGGGGAAACCCTGCTAACCGTTTAACTGATCTGCTTTCTTAAAGTGAATTTTCAATGTTATTTTTGAATTAGTGGAGACTGGGTGAAAGTCTTACGGAGATGGGAAGGGAGTTCCATAGAAGAGGTGCAGCCCTGGAGAAATCTTGGAGGCGAGCATTAGAGGTGGGAGTACGGACAGAGCGTAGTGGCCACGAAGGGACATACTTGTGTATTAGGGAGGATAGGTAGGAGCAGCACTATGTAGGGACTTGTAAGCAAGCACCAGAATTTTAAATTGAGCCCTATATCTAACTGGAAGCCAATGCAGGGACTGAGCAGTGAGGCGCGAGCGGACAGGAAAATGAGCCTTGCCGTCGCATTTATTATAGATTGCAGCGGTGCAATCTGGGAACACGCAAGACCACTGAGAAGGGTATTACAGTAGTCAAGGCGAGAGAGATCAGCATGGATCAGCACCGTAGCCACAGTGGTTAAATAGGGGTGGATGCGTGCTATGTTTTTGAGATAGAAGCAACAGGGTTTGACAATTGGACATGAGGGGCGAGGGAATGGTTGGAGTCGAAAACACCCAGGCATCAAGCCTGCAAAGTAGAGGAGATAGTAGCACAGTTGAATTGGAGGAAGACCAGTTGTTTTGGACAGGTCTAATTTAAGGAAGTGATCAACCATCCAGTTGGAAATCGCAGAGAGAGGAACAGACACTGTTCAAGATGGGTGGAGAGAGATCAGGAGAGGACATGATAGAGAGGGAGCTGAAGGGTGCTAGCGCAGTACCGCAGGCAGGGGAAGGTGTAATTTTGGCAGATTCAGATTAAATTTTGGTGCATCCCTAGCACATTTTTAAATGCAAACAAGTGGACAGAAGAAAACCTATTCTTAAAATAACCATGTTATTTCTAGAACTATAGGCACCATTTAATGTAGTAGTTCAGTGGCCTATAGCTTGTCCCTGCAGGCTCAGCAATATAAATTCTGCTGCTAAGTCCACCTGTCCAAAGCATTTTGTGTATCTGCATAGTAACATAGGTCTATGATGAGATGCAGCATTTGTCCACAAGAAGCACTTTAGTCTCCCAATAGTAAAGCATTGGATTCGAAAAGATGATCAAGGTTGTCTGCCAGGAAGTCAGGGCGACTGTATAGACAACATGCCAATGTAAGCTCACAGGCCATCTAGCCAAGCACGTTGTATAGAAAAAAAAAAAAGAGCTCCAATGGCTAGATATCAGCTTACGGGCAGGGCTCTCTTTACCTCTTGTATTTGTCTGTGTATATTTCTCCGCTAATTGTACAGTGCTGCGGAGTCTGTTGGCACTTTATAAATCGTAGTAATGAAAAAAAAAAAAAAAGACAAAATAAAAAGTAAATCTGCTTGTGACAAGGAGTCACATCTAAATATTAGTATTTGGAATACAGGTTTGTATTCAAAACATTATGATGTTCTATAGTGCCCTTTTAAGGTAATTATTTCTAAAGAATACTCATTGGATGGAAGACTAAAGAAAAATCAGTGGACCAAGAATTTTGTGGGAAAGGATACACACAAAAAAAAAAATATAATCACTTTGTCCTGAGGAAGGTCCCAATGCGGACCGAAACGTCGATTTGCTGAAATAAAAAAAAAGTTTTTGTATTGAAAGACCGTGAGTGCGCGTGTGTATACACATACTAGACTACTTTTCCTTATTTATAGAAGTCCAGTTGACAAGACATGGATGGAGCTTAAAAGAAGGTATTGATTCAACTGCTAATCAGATTTTACTCACAAATCAATACAATCAGTCCTACAGAAGAGCAAACAGCAGACATCATGGGTTAGATATTGACATCCAGCACAAGGAAATAAAGTTGGAAATATAAATAAAGTGTCAAGGGGGAGACTAATTGAGAAAACAGTGGCATAAAAAGGATGAAGTGGAAAAAAAAACCAGAGAAGAGATTAAAGCACACTTCAGTCACACTGCTGGGGTCAGACAAAGATTACGTAGTGAGCACAATCACTGAAACTATTTAGGAAGAGAACAGAAAATTTACCATAACCATGTCACCGGCCGTATAAAAATAGAATTGATTGTGTGTGAGGAGTTAAGCAGAACAGCATTTATCCCCTGAGATTTCTCAATGAACTAGAGATTTGGTTTGTGGGTTCAGTCATAAAACTAGTATTTGTGGTTACTAGACACCGACCGGTGTGTGTTGCACATTAGTACGTGTCAGACGTGCCTCAGAGCAACCCCGCCCATTCAGTTTAGGAAACTGTCTTTTTGCATATTTATGATGCAGTCAGGAAGAAAAGATGAACACAGCACAGCGCTTTTTCCCAGTGATGCCAATCTGACTCATTTAGCTTTCATCACTATTTGCCTGCTGTAACATACTGGTAACTACCAACATGTCCCAATGTAACATTTCTGTATAATCACTTGTAATCTGCATTAAACAGTGGCAATAATTAACACTATACCAGAAGAGGGAATAGAAAAACAAATAACACCATAGTCAAGTAACTGGGGCAGGGGCTGTGGGTTTGTTTTACTAGCAAAAAGAAAAATTAAAAAAAAGATTTAAAAGGAAAAAAAAAATGGATTTTTCTTCTTGCTGTGAGGCAGAATTCATGGTTGTTTTTTTTAAAGGGGTGCGACAAACAACGGACATGATAACATGAGGTAAGCACAGGGCCCTTTGAAATTTTTTCTTACAAATAACTAACCTTATTCTATAGGACACAGAATGCAAAGCTCACTTAATTTTGACGGTCTGCCTTAAAGAGTTCCAAAATATACACACACACCTGCTATTCTTTGTTCTGAATATGTTCAAATTGTGTGTCATTCTCCTGCCTTTGCTACATAAGGTAATATGTAGCAATCTCAGTTTTCAATTGGACTTTTGGCAGTTGCTGTAGTTCGCATTTTGTTTAGCACTGGTCACTGTGGTTTGACAAAACAGAGTTTGAGTTTCTAAACTTCTTTTAAGATTTAAGAAACCTTGGTCAAGAACGAATCAGTGAAGTCTTCCATAGCAAATATTAGCAACACACTACAGCAAGATTAAACACTTGACATTTAAGGACTGCAAATGAGAAGTCAAACAAATACAAAAGCCATTTTTACTACTTATACTGGGGTGAAAGGGGGAGCGCAACAAGAGCAATTCTGGCACCATACCCACTACAGAAAACTGTAGTTGATATGATGCTTGGGTGTTCATTTAATGTGTCAAACCACCATTTTGAACAGTCACCTTTCGTATATACACACCAACAAGTAAAGAGACCCTTTAAAGTATTGTAGAGTTACACATAAGGCACTCAGACCATTGATGGGACCGGGATTAAGTGTCCCAGCTGCATACCGTGTTGCAATGTAATAAGCAGTTTATTTAAAATTGTAATTTTTTGCAAACGAGTGGCAAGATTGCCTCTAACCAAACCTCCCACCTGAGGCACTTACTGTATTTTCATGGAGCTCAACTGAGTTAAAATACCAACGTCATGCTTTGCACAAGGACGTTCAGCATCTTCTAAAACCAAATTAAGGGTTTTTTTGAAGCATTGTGTAAAGTCATTTAAGTCCTGACATTACTAAACAGCTGTGCAGTGAGGAAGATTCAAACAGTCCCACACAAGTGAGGGGACCAACAACATCAGCTCTCACAAAAGCTAGAACAAGATTTCATTTGTAAGAATGTTGGTCAGTGAAAGTTTTTTTTAAACTGTTGACCAATGACACTGTAGTTCTGTGTGAGAGTGTGAAATTGAAAGTGTCAATTACTGCAATTCTATGCGTAAGTCAATGTAAGTTTACAAGTGAGCATAAGGAGAGCCACTTTATTCTTGCACCGGAACACTTATTTCTAGTTATGCCCCTGGGTACAGCCTCTCCGCCTGGTTGGCTTCCACATAAACCCAAGAAAGCAGAGTTAAGACTGGCTGAAGTTCACAGTAGACAACATGAGGCTGACTGAGCGAGGCAGGTAGCAGAATCAGAACTCCTGCAACTAACACGCAGTGTTACCATCCCTTGTCAGCTACATCATAGTCACCTTATTCAGTCTGCTTGATGGAGTCTCCCGTGAACTTCAGCAAATACCTGCACAGGATTCAGGCTGCCAGCCGCACTACATCCCACCCAGTTATGCAGTGTCTCAGCAAAGTGTTACAGTCCTATGCAGAAAGGAGTGTCAGTGTGCAGAGTTGACTGGCTCACATAGATGCCCACACTGCAAAAAGGGTAATGATTTTACAGCATGACATGCCTATGCACTGGACAGAGGATTTAGAGATACCTTTGCACATTTTTGTTGGGCTCCACTAGCAACTAGACAACCTTTGAAAAAAATAAAATAAAAAAATTTCATATGACAAGCCTTTAAGCAGTGACTGGCTTAACACAATATGGCCATATGATGTAACTGGAGCCCCATATTGGTTTACCCCCCTTCCCCCCCAAAAAGGGAAAAATTTTAAAGTAGCCTTGTAAAATTTTAAACTATGTGAGCGCTGTTCCTTTAACTGTATTTTGTATAGCTCTTTAGCTTTACTTAGAAATGCATGTTCTTTGTGTTTGTAAAGCAAATGCAGAACGTAATTGTATAGTAATTTAGGTTTAAATAAGACTGTCCATCAAGGTCTACACATTTTTATGCATCTTTAGTTCTTGCCTTGAAAGGGAAATGGTAAGAGTAGGCCACACTGTTCTCAGTTAAACAAATTGTATTTTCAAATGTTTTGCATGGGACTCATCATATCCAATAGTGGACAGGAGGTTAAGCACAGGTCACAGGAAAGGACAGCAATGGAACAAAAAAAATTAAACTCATTGCACAGCAAAAAGATAGTTGATAAAAAAAAAAATATATCAATTAAAACAGACAATTGAAGAGCATTAAGTCACAGGTCCTTAATATACAGCTACATTTAAGTCACACTGGCTTCGAAGAAGAAGAAGAAAAAAAGTCACTGTTGGCTACACTAGAGGCCGCTAAGAGTTAAACAACTGCAGCCAGTCCCCAGTATTAGCAGAATTCTAGTAGCACACACTGACTGTTGCCAAGTTACCAAGACGCTTTTCCATAACCCAGTGATGCAGCAGCACGCACACACCTTCTAAGGAACAGTTAAACCCAACTCGGAATAAAGAAGACGAGCTAAGGGGTGATTTTACAGACCTTTGAACACACAGTTTAATCACCTGTATCGAGAGTCCTTTTTCTCAAAATTATAATTAAATAGATAAAGAATCTTACACAGGCACATTCAAGTTTTCGATAGAAAACATAACTGAGGAAAGAAGGACATTCTTAGCCATTTTCTGATCCCCAGGGTACCAAATACGTTTTAATTATTTTGGGGATTAGTTCAGGGATTGCACCTTGAATGGGTCCTTACAACTGCCAGGTCTTAAGATTTCAAGGTCACTTTACCATTGGACAAATTGAGAGGAGAATAGGGGCATACTGCAATAGCAGCAATTAACACATCATTGTGTGAACTGGCAATGCCTTGTCACACCGTTGTGAGAACTTTCCACTTTAACACTCACATTGCCAGAGACAAAACATCAGTCTGCTTGTTGCACTCCAGAACAGTACAAGATAACAATGATCAAGTAGATATAAACGTATGTGGAATACAAAACTACTGAGTTAGCAAAAAATAAATAAATCTTGGTTCAAAAACTACAGTTAAAAATAAAAAGGGTTTGCACAATTTTGTTAAACATTACAGTAAAAAAAAAAAAAAAACCTAAGTTCATTCTAGTATAAGTTCATGGTCAAAAAAAAAAAAAATGTTTTAGTATGCACACTATATTACAAGATCCCAAAAATATAAAGCGCATTTAATTACCCAGAGTACATTTTACGCTGCCCCTGCCCTCCATTAGTCCTCTGATAACCTCTCTCACTCCCCCCACCCCCTCCCTCCATACATTCTGGTGAGGGAATTAGAAAGCCAATAATCATATGCATGCAGTTTATGGCAATTGAGCAAGAGTGGTAGCCACGTGTGACCAGGCTGGTAGTCACATCTGACGACAGCTGCTGTACACCATGGGATATTTAACCACATACACAAAATATACATCACGAAGAGCTCACGATTACGTAGCAAGATCACTAAGCAATATGGATTCCTATATTAGAAGAAAAGCAGAAGCCCACAATTCAATACGACTACCAAGACCTGCATGCTTTAAAGTAAATAAAATACACGGGGTGTGGGAGAGAGAAGGGCAATGAGCATGGCCCACTACAACTACATAGGAAGACAATCCTCAGCTACGAGGATCTAGACTAGAGTCGATCTGAGCCTGATCTCCGTTACACAAACACACACCTTGGATGGGGTGAGGAAGTCAAGAAAACTCTCGGGGTGAATATTACAGCATTCGTCTTATCACATACGTGGGGGCTCACATCACACGTGCTTCACATCCCCCCCCACGCTATGCTATAGAGTGATTGCCATATGTCCTCTAGATAGATCATACGGCAAGGGCTACAACGGAACCCAGTAAGCACAGACCCCCACGTGGGACCAGGCAGTAGAATCTGCCGGCCGGTCGCCCAATAGAACGCCCCGGACTGGAAGCTCAGTGTTTGGAACTCACCTCTGGTTACAATGTATCCCGGTCCACTCACACGCAGGAGGCGGAGAAAGCAGCTGCAGTGGCGGCGCACTCAGAGCGCTGGAACTCTGACTAATCAGCACTGCTAACCAGACCACACCGCCTACAGGGTTTATAACAAGCATGCAGTGCGCCTGCGCAATCCCGCCCCTCTGAATATTAATGCAGAACTGATCATTCATTAGTTAGAGAGAGCGCGTTTGCAGGAAGAATGGTGTGCGTGTGGGTTGACTGCATTGAATTAATTTTCTTTTATTTTTTTGAATATATATATATTTATGATTGAGATGTATATACAATGCTCCTTTAGTTGATAAAATAATATATATAGTAGTGTACGTTGCACTACCGATTTTACAGTGAGATATTCGAAGAAAAATAGACATCTCTATTAATGACATTCTAGATCAGTTGTCCGTTTATTGTCAGGGACCCAACATTCATTGCATGACATTGGCCTACCCAGTTTTAATTAGCGTAATTACCATTTTAGGGCTGTAATACTAAATATAGCAAATGTAATTTTGCAGAACACCAATATCAGATTCTTACCAGCATTATAACTTTATTGCACTGTGGTCAGGGCCGGTGCTACGATTTTTGACTACACAGGCGAAGATGCATTTTGACGCCCCCCCCCCCCTCAAAAAAATAAACAATGCATCTTCACCTCTGTGTCTCGTAGCCCCCTTTTGAATTTCTTACCCCCATTAGTGTTGCATATCCACTCTCTTGAATGTCTTACCCCTTTGGCCCCTTTGTGCCTTACACCCCCCTTTAGTGCGTCTCCTACAACCCCTCTTATGTATTTCTTACTTCCCTGCCAGCCCCTTTCTGTCTCTTTCTTCCCTCCAATCCCTATCTATCTCTCTTTTTCTCCCACATAGACATAGATACAGGCAAAAATACATACATGCACAAATACACAAACATACAGACATACAGACACACAACCATACAAGCACACAGACATAATTTTTCAGGCACACAGTCACAAAGATATACAGACACACAGTCATAAAAGGCACACAAACAAACACAGTCATACAATCTACACATACAAGTACATTGTCGTACAAACACAGACATACATTCATACAGACACAGGCACTCACAGAAATACATACACAGACATAAAGAAACAGAGATAGGCATACAGAGACATACATACACAGACAAACAAAGAACCCTGCACACTGACACTGTGTAAATGCTCCGGCCATCTACAGAGGTGGATGCTCCATGTCAGGCAGACATTGTTGGATCCACCAGTAAAGTCTTCAAAAGGAATAAACGCAGGCAACACTCCAATAGTAAGGATGGTATATTTATTGGTAGATGAACCACCCCATAGAAAGTGTGATGTTTCAGCTCATGCAATAAGGCTCTGCTGAGCCGAAACGACGCACTTTCTTTGGGGTGGTTCACCTATCAATAAATATACCATCCTTACTATTGGAGTGTTGCCTGCGTTTATTCCTTTTGAATACATTTACACAGTCATACAGAGACATACATGGTGTATGTCTCTGTATGACGGTCTGTGTATGTACACAGGATGGCTAAAAGATAGACCCCCATCTGTCGTGCAACTTCAACAATGCTTTGAAAGCTGGGGCTCTACCGATTCCCCATGCTTGCAGGATTGTATTTAGCATGGAGCAGTATTTGTGTGTTTGACTGTAAGCATGTGTTTGTTTGGAGTATGTTTGTATGATTGTAGCGGTGTGTTTGTATGTAGTGTTTGCATTTGAATGCAAGCATGTATTTATGTGTAGTGTTGGTTTTTGAACGCAGGTGTGTGTTTATATATAATTTTGGTGTCTGATACAGAGGTGTGTTTGTATGTAGTGTTGACATTTGAATGCAGGGGTGTGTTTGTATGTAGTGTTGACGTTTGCATGCAGGTGTTTATTTGTGTGTAGTGTTGTGTTTGAATGTTGAGATATATGCACATATACACATACACTGCCACACACGCACACACTGTGATACACATATACAAAGATACACACACTGACACATGCAGATATACATATACACAAACTGATACACATTCAGATAGACACACAGGTACACACAAACACTGACAGACATACAGATAAACACACAGTGACAGACACACATACACAATGATAGGGAAGAAGACATACTAACAGACAGACACACACACTAACAGACATTTAGATACACACAGACACACGGACAGAGACATATACATACACACACACACTGACAGACATGGATACACACACACACTGACAGACATAGATACACACACACACACTGACAGACACACACACACACTGACAGACATAGATACACACACACTCACTGACAGACATATACACACACACTGACAGACAGACATATATACACACACACACACTGACATATACACACACACACACTGACAGACATACACACACACTGACAGACATATATACACACACACACACTGACAGACAGATACACACACACTGACAGACATATACACACACAGACACACTGACAGACATAGATGCACACAGACACACTGACAGACATACACACACACACACTGACAGACATAGATACACAGACACACTGACAGACATACACACACACACACTGACAGACATATACACACACACTGACAGACATATACACACACAGACACACTAGATGCACACAGACATGACAGACATATACACACACAGACACACGCAGACACTGACAGACATACACACACACACACTGACAGACATATACACACACAGACGCACAGACGAGACATATACACACACTGACATGTATACACACACAGACGCACTGACAGACATAGATGCGCACAGACGCACTGACAGACATACACGCACACACACACTGACAGACATAGACACACCGACAGACATACACACACACAGACACACTGACAGACATATACACACACACTGACAGACATATACACACACAGACACACATAGATGCACACAGACACACTGACAGACATATACACACACAGACACACTGACAGACATACACACACACAGACACACTGACAGACATACACACACACACACTGACAGACACACTGACAGACACATACAGACACACTGACAAACATATACACACACACTGACAGACATATACACACACAGACACACTGACAGACATAGATGCACACACACACACTGACAGACATACACACACACACACACACTGACAGACATAGATACACAGACACACTGACAGACATATACACACACACTGACAGACATATACACACACACTGACAGACATACAGATACACACACACTGACAGACATGGATACACACACACTGACAGACATATACACACACACTGACAGATATATACACAGACACACTGACCAACAGGTTCAGGAGGGTGGCTTACCTGGGATCCAAAGTGCTGCCTGAGGTAGTTGGGAGTTGGAGGAGCTGGTCCTGCCCAGCCCCCCTCCTCTCTGCCTTCTGCTGCCCTAGTCTTGTTGGGAGGACTTCCTCCCATGCTGAATAGAAGGGGACCGGTGGTAGCTCCGCCCCTGCTGGGCACCAGCCGCGCTGTGTGCTACAGAGGGAGCAGGGATATGACGTTCATATCCCCGCCCCCTCCACACAGTCCGCGGCACTGCTGCAGGTTGGCGCTCGGCCACGCTACAAAAAGTGACCGGCAGGAGAGGGGAGCGGTGCGCTTCCCTCCTGCCGGCCACCCGGACATTTGCGCCCCCGGGCCGGTGCGCCCTAAGGCGGCCGCCTGTGCCGCCTTATGGACGCGCCGGCCCTGACTGTGGTAGACAGTGCTGGTGCAGCAGACAATTTATTATGGGCTATTGTAAATAATATGGTGTACCATTCAACCATTGGGGAGTCTTGGGAACCCACTGAAATAGCATGCACACTGAACAATATAATATTCCTCCTATTTAGGAGGGACAGTACCTATTGTGGGTACAAATACTTGTCTCTCTTCTCTATCCTAATGTCCCTCTTTTCTAGGAGCTCCATATTGTTAGTGTCTGAGTGTATAGCAGAGCTTCACTGCAAAGTAATGTGTCGTTAAACTACAATAAATGTGTTTAGAAATCAGTCTACAGGTGATACTCGAAAAATTAGAATATCATGCAAAGGTTAATTTATTTCAGTAATCATAGGTGTGCGCATCGGGTGTGCCAGGCACACCAAAATCCCCGCGTCACACACTATGTGCCTCCCTCCGTGGCCCACAGGCAGGGAGGAAGGCAGGAGAGGACCCGGGGAGCTCTTGTCAGCAGCTCCGCCGGGTTCCTCTCGCGAGGTCGGAGTGTTGCCGCGGCTAGAGTTCACTCACCACTGAACCACCAGGGATGGCAGCAGCACGGTCCCCCCTCCCTACAAAAGGTAAGAAGGGAGGGGGATATTAACTAAACGGCCCCTCCACCCCCACACTAACAGCACCCACACACATATATCACCCTTACACACACAGCAGACACACACACTAACAGCACCCTCACACATACACACACAGCACACACTAACAGCACCCTCACTTACACACACAGTGCCCTTACACACACACAAACAGCACCCACACACATACATACACACACAGCACCCTCACACACACACAGTGCCCTTACACACACACACACAGCACCCTCACACACATCACCCGTACACATACAGACACACTAACAGCACCCTCACACACACAGAGTGCCCTCACACACACAGCACCCTTATACACACACTAACAGCAGCCTCACACACACAGCACCCTCACAAACACAGCACTTACACACACAGCACCTACACACACAGCATTGTATGTGTGTGTATGTATATATATGCGGCGTGTGTGTTTGTGCTTTAGGGTGCACACCTTTATGCAATAGGCTGCGCACGCCTATGTCAGTAATGCAACGTAAAAGGGGAAACTAATATATGAGATAGACGCATTACATGCAAAGCAAGATAGTTCAAGCCGTGATTTGTCATAAGTGCGATGATTATGGCTTACAGCTCATGAAAACCCCAAATCCACAATCTCAGTAAATTAGAATATTACATGAAATCAATAAAACAAGGAGTGTACATAGAACAATATCGGACCTCTGAAAAGTATAAGCATGCATATGGACTCAGTACTTGGTTTGGGCCCCTTTTGCAGCAATTACTGCCTCAATGCGCGGCATGGAAG